TAAAGTCAGTTCATTGTTGATTCAGTGATGTCATCATCCAGCTCAGTTCAGTTCTCTTCCAATAGTGTCTGTGCAGTCAAGTCAACAATGTTGCCAGAAATTGTGTCCCCAACTAAGCAAGCCAAAGGCAACAGTGGCAAAGAACCAAAACTCCATCAGTGACAGAAATAGAGAAAAAATAAACCTTGGGAGAAACCAGGCTCAGTCGGGGTCCAGTTCTCCTCTGACCAGAAGAAACCAGCATTGTGTGGTTTAATTCCAGGCTGCAACGCACGTCAGATTGAGCAGAGGACTCGTCTGGTTCTTGTGGTTTTGTGCCGATGGCTGACGAGGTTTTCACAGGGGATCTGTCTCTAGTTGACATGGTCTCCGCTGACATTCAGGGCTGTAGAGGTCGTCTCTAGGTGCTGATCCACCATCTGGGCTGGTTTGGGTGGCTATGGTGACCTCGGAATAAGAATAAAACAGACTAATATTAGTGTAGATGTCATTCTTCTTACGATGTCATAAGTATATCTGGTGTTATGGGACGTGTTCCCAGTTCCGGTTGACCTAATTGAATTATAGAAATGTGATAGTGTGTTATGCATATGCCAGGTTAAAGAGATGGGTCTTTAATCTAGATTTAAACTGACAGAGTGTGTCTGCCTCCAAAATAATGCTAGGTAGACTGTTCCAGAGTTTGGGCGCAGTGACGAGAGGGGCGGGGCTGAGAGCCGTGGGAATGGAGCGAGGCCGGTGGAGTAAATGCACAACACCTGCGCCACTCACCGGTCTCGAGTCCCACTGAGGAGCTCCGGAAGGATAAAAGGAGGAGTGACGACAGTGCAAGACGAGAGGACCAGGCCTGGATTTTATTTTGTGTTTTGGTCCTGGTTGTGCGCGACAGTCGTCCGCAAGGGGCTATTTTGTGTTTATTTTATTATTAAAGTTTTGTTTGAATGTTTGCTGGTTCCCGCCTCCTTCTTCCCGAACTACGAACTAGTGATGCAAAGTCCGATTCATTTCCGCGAACCGGTTCTTTACGGACAGATCGGCTCATTGAACCGGTTCAAAAAGCCGATTCATCGGTTCCTGACGTCATCAAGCAATAACGTCTCTACGCATTTATTTTCTAACAACTCATTGTGTTGTGCCAACACATATTGAAACATTAAAAAAATAAAGTTATTTGTGTGAAAGCATATTGCTGATTATTGCCATATAATTCACTCAAGTTAATGGTAGGTGTTTGTGGTCACAGTTTCATTCGCGGTTCCTTATGTCATATACGACTGACTGACCAATATTGACTAGCCTGCAACTTGGATATGATTCCTAAAAGTTTCAAACCTACAGCACACATTACTGACATGCACAAACGCTGATATGTTCTACATGTCTACAGTATAGAATGAATAAACCAGTCTTATAAACTCCTTGATTTCGCTTAAGCAAATTTAAATATAATATGCATGCACAATAAACTATTGTAAAATTTATTTACATCACTCGACAGAAAGGCTTTTGCAGGTTTTTTAAAAATGTAAATAAATAACCGTCATAATAAGCATATTTCCAGTATGCACCTCAGGCTTGCACAGTATCGTCAACTCACTCATCAGAATCTTCGGTAATCCTCGGCAAACTTCGCCACGCCTCATTCGGTTCTTGTTGAGTCATCGGTAATCGGTAAACTTCGACAGTTGGTTGAACCGGCTCAATCGGTTCTTTTTGAGTTGGACGTGCTACTTCGGGCTGTGCGTCCTGCGTCATCAACCCAGAACTAAAGTTCGATTCAGTTCGATTTGTGAACCGGCTCAAAAGAACGATTCGTTCAAGAACCAAACATCACTACTACTACGATACAGGCGCTAAATAGGAGAAGCATCTGCCATCCGAAGTTGCTTTTGATATCCTAACAAATAACAAATGTTTTGAGATCGCAGCGAACATGAAGGACAATAATGCGGTATGAGCTCGCTCAAGTACTGTGGAGCTAAACCATTCAGGACTTTCAAGCCATTCAGGAGCAGAGGTGTAAAGTATTGGAGTAAATGTAATTAGTTACTGTACTTGAGTATCTTTTCGGTTTTCGGGTAGTTGTACTGAGTATCAAAGATATTAGCAACTTTTACTCTTTACTTCACTACATTTTTGAATGAATAGGCCTATCTGTACTCTTTACTCCACTACATTTGAAATGAGTGTTGCAGTTACACATTACATTTTGCATGGACCTAGCTTTTTCTGCAGCAGTTTATTTCTGCTACAAAAGACGTGATATTGCCTA